CTTAGGTGATTTTTAAATGAAAACGTTGTATTATGTGTATTTTATGTGTGAATGCATACATTTTCAGTTAGACATTCATTAGTAACTTGAGTTTGAACATTGCTATGATCTGTTCAGTTGTTATCATGTTGGATTTTCTCTTGTGTTTGATTGCTTGGATAGTTGTTCTCTTGCTTCTTCAAGTGTCCTTAGCTTGTATTTATAGCTTAGAATGTGTTTGATGTTGTATATAACTTGATGTTGTATGTTGCGATCAACGCGAAAGTCAAATTCAACGCGAAATCGCAACGCGAATTTGACTTTCGTGTTACGAATTTACCTTTCGCATTGCGAATTTGTACCTTCAACAAATCTTTTTTGCCTTTAATATAACGCGGATTGAATTTAAAACAACAAATCAACTTTTACAAATCAATTAAACAAGAAAAAAAATAATTCTTATTTACACATCAAATTAAACAAATCAACTTTTACAAATCAATTAAACAAGCAAAAAATAATTCTTATTTCCTCATCAATTAAACAAATCAACTTTCAATGTAAAATTCAATTAAACAAGCAAAAAAAAGTGTACCCAGACTGTTGTTTATGCACAAATACATCAATTTCATGCAGCTCACGTCAGGAATAACCTGTAGAAACCAAATATTTGCTCAAACAACACTTTCTACACAGGTTCTCAAGTAAAGCCTGTCAAAGTGTATTTAGAACCATCGCCCCGCAAACTTTTTCGATCCTCAAAGGCAGATGACAACTTCTTCCAGGTAGCTTTCCATAGATATGAACCCCGCGGAAATAGGTTCCATGCATTTAGGTCCTCTACCAGTAATATTAGGTCCTCAGAGATAGGTTGTCTTCCCTCTTTGCCTAAAAAGCCGGTGTGCAAAAGTAATAAATGGCATACTCGGACAACATCAAGGTCAACCATCCGAGTAAAACCATCTTTAACAAATAATCTCTTCAAGTCATCGACGTGTAAACTCGGCTTCGACTTTGCTAACTCAGGAAAAACCCGAGATAACCATGATGGGCGGGAGATATGACTAGTGTACCGGGTTACTTCATCGTGTCCGAAGCATAGACCGGTGATTAAGCAAAACTCCTCCCGCCCAAAAAAAGTATACGCCGGTGCCGGAGGAAAATGAAACAATATCTCTTCATCACCACGTTGTATCCTCTCGGGTAGATCGTTAGTCATGGTCTGAAGAAACAAATGTGTCAGCATAGCATCTCCACCCGTATGTTGTACTTTCAGTCATGGCCCGAAGCAAGTATCCTCAAACAATTTTCTTTGTAGAGATGTAAGCGTCGACGCAATTTTAGTGGCTAGGCTTAATTTATTCCTTAAGGTCAATGCAAAAAAATTTCTACAAAAACAATAAACATACAAGTTAGATATACCAAAAAATACAAATTATACACTATAAACAGACATGATATTAAACAGTGAAAAAAAACCAAATATGTTTCAAACTAGCACGATATTCACATGCTGTCATTATTCCATCATAGTTCACAAAATGCATCAAATAACATTCCATAAGTAAGCACTTATATAAACATTTAAAAGGACAACATATAGGTTTAGTGCAGGTTCAAGGACAACATAAAGAGTAGTAGTTTATTCTTGAAACTTAAATTAGCAACACTGTGAAGTTAATATTTGTCTTTGTTTTGTCTTTTTGTTGAAGTAATGCAATTCATTCAAGTTTCAATTTGCAGAATAAGAGTAGTTTCTGAAACTTAAATTCGCAACGCGAAAATGAAAATCGCAACGCGAAAATGAAAATCGCAACGAGAAAATGAAAATCGCGAAACTAAAATCGTGTTGCGATTTTCATTTCCGTGTTGCGATTTTGGTGTTGCGATTTTCATTTTCGTGTTGTGAATTTAAGTTTCAAAAACTATTCTTCTGCAAATTGAAACTTGAATGAATTGCATTTCTTCAACAAAAAGACAAAACAAAGACAAATACTAACTTCACATGGTTAAAGACTAAACAGTTTAACAGTATTGGCAACAACCGAATGAATTTACTAAGCAATCTCAGTGAAATGGTTAATCTTTATATATATTGAAATTACCAGTAAATTTATCATCAATATAAGAAAAATCTAATAATAATACAAAAATTTCAAAATAAAAATAAGAGATTAAAAAACTAACCCTCGGTGGTTGATTTTCCATTTCTGACCGTGAATGGTTGTGAGGGTTGCTCTGAGAGATGGAGATAGACGAATTTCGCCGGAGATGAGGATGAATTTCGTCGGAGATGGGGACGGATGTCGCCGTAGAGAGTGAGAGATGGAGATGAGCTGAGTTGTGATTTAGGGTTTTAGGTTATGATTTGTGATAATATTGTTTACATTTGTGTTGCGAAATTAATATTGTGTTTCACGTTGCGAATTTGACTTCCGTGTTGCGAATTTGACTTTCGCGTTGCGAATTTGACTTTTGCGTTGCGAATTTGACTTTCGCGTTACAAATTTGACTATCGCGTTGCGAATTTGACTTTTGTGTTGCGAATTTGGCTATCGCGTTGCGAATTTGACTATCGCGTTGCGAATTTGACTTTTGTGTTGCGGATTTGACTATCGCGTTGCAAAATTGACTTCTGTGTTGCGATTTACAGATTCGCAATGCGATTTATATATTCGCGTTGCGAAATTGGAGTTCGCGTTGCGAATTTGTTGGTCATTTTGGCAAATCCAAAAAAAGTTGGTTAAAATCGTATATTATAAGGTATTTTCGGTCACTGAAGTTATTTTCTCTAATAATAATATATGTATTATATATTATATAATATACTATATAGTATAATAACATACGTACTATATAATATAATATAATATATGTATGCTATACGATATAATATAATATATATCCTATATAATATAAACCATATAATACATCTATACTATATAAATAATATATTATATAAGCAAAGTCGGGCGAAATGTGTCTATATAGCTTAGGAAACATTTCATTCCCTGCACTAGAAAAAAGGCAGAAAATGATGGATGGTAGTAAAGATCGATATGGAGAAAGCCTACCATCGCCTTGAATCACCCTTCATCGAAGATACATTAAAAGATACTGGTTTTCCTCCACTCCTAAGCAATGTTATTATGGGATGCATTCGATCTACTACAACTCAATTAATTTGGAATGTGTCTGAACCTTTCAAGCCAACAAGAGGTATCCGGCAGGGAAACCCTTTATCCCTATACATTTTCGTTCTCTATATGGAAAGACTAGCGCATGCGAATCATGGAGGAAACGAAAAAGGGCGCATGGAAACCATTAAAGCTCTCAACAACATGTACAGGTATTACTCATTTATTCTTTGTTCACGATCTAATTTTATTTGCAGAAGCTGACGAATCCCAAGCAAACTTCATAAAAGAAGTTCTCCAAAAAAAAAATTCCAAAGTTCTGGCCACAAAGTGAGCATCCCTAAGACGAACATCTTCTTCTCAACAAATGTCAATAACAATAATCGAAGGATAATCTTGGGTTTAGAGAGGTGAACGACTTTGGAAGATATCTAGGCGTCCCTGTCCTTCATAAGAGAGTTAACAAGGCCACGTATAACCATTTGACCCAAAAAGTCCAGGATCGTTTAGTGGGTTGGAAGTCTAAAGCATTATCACTAGCCGGAAGAACAACCCTAACTAAATCAGTGCTTTCCGCAATATCGTGTTATACCATGTAAACTACAACACTCCCCAAGGGTATCTATGAAGTGATTGAAAGAATAATAAGAAACTTTGTATGGGGGGATCCCTTGAGGGTGGGGGAATACATCTTGTGAAGTGGGAGGAACTGTGTAAACCTATTGAGGACGGAGGTCTTGGAATCAAAATCCTTGGGAAGCATAACGAAGCATTCACAATGAAGTAGCCTTTCAACTTGTAACAAGGATGGATTGCCTATGGGTGCAAATACAAGATTAAGGAGGTTATGCCTAATAAAATGTGAAAAAAGAAGAGCTCTCATCTATGGAAAGGGTTGAGTAAAATTTGGGATACGTTCAAAGGAAACATCATCTAGAACCTGGGAAAGGGAACTAAAATAGAATTCTTAAATTATGAGTGGATCAACGACTTGGGACCCCTTAAAAACCACTGTCTGCAGCCCGAAAATATCTTAGGCGATAAACAAAAGGTGAACGAAATGTTGGAAGGGTATGGCACGTGAAACTGGAATAAGCTGGAGCAGTACATCACCAGCAAAGCCCTACAACATCTAGAAGCAATACCTCCCCCAAAAAATGAACATTAAGAAGATACTCCTGGTTGGAAAGGTACAAATAGCAGACTCTTCACAATAAAAATAGCTTACAAGAACATAACTGGAACCGAAGAAGCGACAATGAAAATATTTGGGCAGTGCTAAACAAACACCAAAATTTATCAAGGATTAAAATCTTTCTTTGGTTACTATGTAAGGGACGACTCCTTACTAATGCTGCGAGTTCGGCGGTACATGGCAACTCATGGAAGTTGCAAAGCACGTGGGGAGAATGTGGAGGACATGGATCATGTATTTAGAAGCTGCCCCCAACATACGTACTGTGGAGGCATCTGGTTGGACCGAACAAATTACTGAATTCCTGGATAAATGTGTACAATGTTCGATAATGAAAAAATTGGAAAACTGACACCACCTAGAAAACGAAGCAGGTGAGTGGCCAACATTCTTTGGAGTTCTACTATGAAAGCTGTGGGAGAGAAGGAACAAAATAACCTTCGAACTAGAGATGATAGAAATGGAGACAGTACTGGAGGCGGCAACATGGAGAACAAGGGAGATCATTGAAAGTTGTACAAAACAAATGCATTTAATCGAGCATAACCAGGAATAAAGGCAAGAGAGATGGCTACCTCTGGAGGAACCTTGGATCAAAATCAATACTGATGGTCCCAGAAATAATACCTTTGGGGAAGTTGTGTACGGAGGAATAGCTAGGGATTACAATGGCTGATGGATAGTGGTTTTTACCGGAATATGCACGATGTTGGAAGTAGAACTGTGCGGAATCTATTAGGGGCTCCAGATTGCTTATAAGCTAGGGTTAAGACAGATACTAATGGAAACTGAAAATAGTGAGGCAAAAAAGATGGTCAAGAATAATCAGGTCAATGGAAGGAGCCTCCCAATAATGCATCACATAGAGAATGGAGGGTTGAATTCAACCATATCAAGAGAAGCAACATTAGAATAGCATATGGACTTGCTAAGCATGGGTAGACACCCCCCAAGGTTTACAGGAGTTCAGGGAACCTCTGGAAGGAATAAAACAGTGGCTTCGAGATGAATAAGTAGCGTAGACTGAGCCCATACTCCTATTTGTAAACAAAAAATGAAAAAAGAATCATAATATAGACATTTTGGTTCTTGCAGGGGATATTGATTGAAATCTTTGTTTTTTCCATCAAACCCCAGCTTAAATCTAATTACAAGAAAGGGTGAATTACACCATTAGTCAACAACCTATTATTATTTTTCTATTTCAGTAAACAAACTATTTTTTGGGAAAAATATCACTAATGTTACGTGTTTTTTCTTATTTTGGCCATCATCTATTAAAAATTTAACAATGATATTAACATGATTTTTTCTACGTTAATTTCTCTCTCATTTTCAATAGTTTATGTATCATTTTTAATGATTTTATTTGGATAAATAAGGTGGTGACATATGTCACCACTTCATCAAATAAAGAAATAAAATTTTAGGGGTAGGAAAACTCGAACCATGTGTCATAACCTTAGCCACTCTTGTACACCAAAAATGTAACAACTAAACTAGACTCATTATATACGATATGCTTAATGTCACATTGAGCTACCGAAACGACCAACCAATTTAAAAACATTTCTTGATCCCAATAATCACTCATATACTTGAAATTTGATATTCAAATAATAAAATTGATTATAATTGTAAAAATATTTATACAAAACCAGACTCTGAAGTATATAGTGTAAAGTAAATCAAAAGGTTTAATGGAATATGAGGCCCTTAAATTTTTCCAATTTTTTTAATGTGGCGCTTTAATTATGACCCTCAAATTCAAATATATATATAATGTGGGCATTTGACCAACGATTTTTATCATTGATTATTACGGTACGTGACAATTCATAAAATTGATTTGGTGATACTGAGTGAAAAATCTTTAAAGGTGGAGAATGATCAATAACACATTCACAGGAATTTTTTTTTGAATGTATTACCCCTTTCCTGTAGGACTGCCCCATAAAATCTATACCATTCAACCTGTGGCTATGAAAACCAACCGCAACCATTTCAGCACGAGAATAAAACTGATGACCAACATCAATGCCTATCGCACATTAAAGACATCATAGATAATAGTTTCTTATAAACTCAAAACCAGATCTGAAACGCCCATTATAGTACATGTTAGCCAACTAAAAACAGCATAAAAATCCACAACAAGCATAAGCTCTCACAACCAACCTGGAATGTTGCCTATCCTTTTCTGAGGATAAAGCACCTCCTTTCTCTTCATCATCTGCAATGTGTTATATTTGAGAAAATAAGAGAATATGACATCAAAATCAGTATTAACAAGATACTATCATACTTAAATCAAAAGAAATATAATAATCAGCAAGGGAATGGAACCAAGAAAAGTTTATAGAATTATCTTAAATTAATAATCATTACAATAATAGTTCAACATATATAGTTCCCCGATTCCACCAATGAATGTCTATTCATATTGCAAGGGAAGAATAACATAAAACAAATTATCACCAATGTTATTCACTTATTCTTATAAGGAGCTATGACAAAACTTTTCATCAGATGAAAACATAGCATTATGAGTAATCTCATCAATATGATTTGAGTCGAGCATAAGAGGGCAAAAAGTTGCAAGTCAGTCATTTATATTTTTTACCCTTAAATGACCAAAACTGAAGCTATGCTGGATTTTTAAACAGAATGACAAAAGGAACAAATCATAGACACTGAAAAGATACAGCAGGGTCTCCACATTGACTGCCTTTGTCATTGCCTTTAAATCAGGTCGCTTGACTTTGCCCTTACCACCAGCATCAGGTACATTTCCTTCCTGCAAATAAAATTTGAAAATAACAATGAAATTGAAAAAGAATTGCATGATTGAAATGAAAGCAAACCCCAATTTCACCGTGTTTAGGTTAAATGGGCAATAAATTTAGCAGAGATACATAAACTAAAGCTTTGAGACTGTAACTGAAACAACTGCATGAATAACGTACCATGTCTTTCTTATCAACTTTATCTGCTCCACATCGCTTTTCCTCATCCTAAGAACCACTAGAAAAATTGTGTAACAAAACAAAAACTTGCTAAACTCATCTCAAATGGTAAAAAAAGCAATGCAAGAGGAACATACCTGAACTAAGTGAAGATAAAAGTTGTTGAACAACCTTTCAGTCTCTTTGACCTTAATATGAGCACTTTTCTCAGCAACATTAGGAGCATTACTACCGTGTAGTCCCTCTGCAATTTTAGCATCTCGTTCTACCATTTTCACCACTTTCTTGTTGAACTGAAGTTCAGTGGGAGAAATGGTATCTCAAGAAGCTGTTGGATCCCAGTTTGAAAATGTTGTAACTTCAGCTTTTGATTTACCTTCTCAGTACCCACATTAAGTTTTTTTAGCGCTTCTTCCACCATCATCATCCAGAAGCTCCAGTTTCCGTTTAGTCAAAAGCTCATTCTCAGCTTTTTGTTTGGCGGCAGCTTGTAATCTGGCACTGACCCTCCGTTGTCCAGCCACGTTGTCCTTCGTCTCTGAGCTATTCTCCACCTGAATCTTGACCCTTTTGGCTCCGTTTGTAGGCTAAGGAACAGAACTCTGGACAGAATGCGGCGATTGAACCACCATATTGACAAGTCTAAAACAGAAGAATGCGATGCTATGATCGAAATGAAGGAAGAAATGTAAAGAAGAACTGGAATATAGGGTCAGGAGATGAAAAGACAAGGATTTTATTGAGGATGCATGCACGTTGTACTGTATCCTACGACTTGATTGTGTTCATGGGGGTGTATGTCACGTATTACGATTTCTAAGGCGTAACGCAGTTATGGCTGAAAGGAATATATATAATATTTATTTAATATTTTTTAAATTTATATTTTTAGTTTTATTTAAATTTAATCAAATTTGGAAGGAAATTCAAATTTAAAAGCCAATTGACGCGGCGTATGAATTTATTAAGTCACATTTATTTAATTGATTAAATATGAGAGTGAACTACAAATTTGGTAATTGAATTTTCTTTACTATTTCACTCATTGTACTTTAAATCTTTTCAATTTTCTCATTAAACTTAATTTTTTTGGCCACTTAGTCGTTTCCTCACTAACAGCGTTATAAATTAGATGTTATACAGATGCAAAATGACATTATTTGGTGAAATTTTTGTTTTTTTAAATGATATAGTTTTAACACCGTTAACTATTTAATGGTGGATCAACAAAAAAACCCAATTTATTAAGTTCAGTGAGAAAATCGAAAACTTTTAAAGTTCAGTGAACATAATAGGAGAAAGAGTAAAGTTTAGTGATAAATTTGTAATTTACCCTAAATATAAAAAATCGAGATTTTTTTAAAGATAATTCCTCATATTCCTAATTTGAAATAATACGAAGTTAATTTATTAGTAACTTTTTAATTAAAACTTTTAAAGTTTTCAAAGATAATTTAATAGCAAGTTTTTTTAAATTTTGTCAATGGTTTGACTATCTATCTATATATAGAGTAAATTGACTAAATTCATACAGATATACTAAGAAAATCGTAAAATGATAATGAAAAAGAGCCAAAAAAATATGTTAAAAAATCATTTAATACAAAGAAAATCTAACAGTATTTCTTTTGGTACTTTTGTCAAAAGCATTGGTTTTTATATATTTATATTTTCAATTAATTTAAATTAAAAATGATATGTATGTAATATTATTTTTAGTAACTTATAATTACTGGCGACCTTACTTTCCTTTTAATAATGATTGAATTTGAAGGAATTGAACAATTTAGATTTATCATAAGATAGTATATATTCAAAAAAATTTAACATATTGATAACACACTCTATAAATGCCGCTACTCGAACTTAGGACCTGAAGATTAATATTTCCTTCTACCACTAACGTCACTTGATGAGTTAAATTCAAAATTGAATTTAACTCATTGTAAAAAATTCTAATAGTATATAGTTTAACATTTACATACTCTATTAATATTTCCTTCTACCATAATTTATGTCTCATATTGACTATGCACATAGTTTTAAGATATATAATTGATTAAGGAAAATGACTAAATTATCTTTGATTGATATATTTATTTTGATAGGTGTAAAAGGATAGGACATACAAGGGTAAAAAAAGAAAATATAAGTGTTGTTTGATGACTTTTATAATAGGACAATTTTAAAAATCAAAAGAGACATATTTAGCAGGACGGAGGGAATATTATTTTTAATTTAGTTTATGAAATAATCACACTTGTATATTTTATCTAATATTCTTGATATATTGAGTATATTATAATAAATGAATAAATATGATATCTTATATTAATTTATTTGAGCATGGTCATGCGTTTCTAGTCTCAATCAATCAAGTGACCTAAGATATTGCTCACATTACGTGGGAGGGACAAATCTCGTGTTGATAAAATTATATCTTGCTACATAGATCGTAACATGTCTAACATAGTGATTATGTGCAACCAATTACGACACACGTTTGACTATATCAAATATGCGACTAACGACGTTGTGATAATAATGATATCAAGTTTGAGGATCATACATATAATTATCATTATGAGCAATGTTGTAACTATTGCATAATAATTCAAGATACATATTCATAGTGGGTAGTCTAAAATGTTATTCTTTAATACATACTTGTGTATTGATTTTGACATCCTCATGTCAATGATAACATTTTCCCATCAATTAGCTACATATCAGTCTTTAATGCATTATTTTTGTTAAAATTTTACAATAATAGTCGACAAAAAACCTTTTAATAATAATCATATTATTCTTAAAATTTTATTATTGTTTGATTAATTTATATATTCATAAATAATTGAAATAACAATTATTTTAAATAATACATGTCGAATTTAGTGGCCATTCACGTATAATTCATTATTGATGTGTTATTATTCTATTGATATGATAATAAATGTTATTATCTTACACTATTTTTATAATAATTTATATTTTATAATTTTAAATTATTTTTAATATTACATATAAAATAAAATAATATCACATCAACAACGAAATGCACATAATATACAAACTATCACCTGAGTTATCACTTCAACATTATAATTTTTTTAAGTTATAGGCTAAAGTTAGTTAAAAATATGAAAATTAAATCTATTGAAGGTGTAAACATTCATGGGATGAATTTATTATTATATAAAAATATAAGAAATTATATTTAAAATAAGATTGGATCCTATTCATCCGGTTAGCATGACCAATTCTTAAGGGCTAACTAAGAATTGATAAAAAGAGACTTTCGAGTCAAAAACTTTGACCAAAGACAAATTTTTTGTTTGAACATAATTTTCAAATAAAATCAATTAATCATGAACTCAAGGGAGCATTTTTTCCTATATAAACATTTTCAAGTCAACTCTGCAAAATTTTCAATAAAGAAAATCAATGGGAAAAAAAGTCATGAATTAATTTATGAGACAACTATTACGAGGTGAAAGTAATTTCTCTTAGTCTAAAACACTTCCACCAAAGCAAATATTCAAATGACTTCTTATGAGATATGGGAAGAAGTGTAAGACTTTTTTGTGTTGGATAAAGCTAAGCGAGAGAAAATTGGTTGTACTAGATTTGATTCAAGATATGTTGAAAGCTGTGTTCGATCGAAAAAGTCATATACATATTTAAAGCGAAAATATGTAGAGTTTTTGTTAAGTAACAGTGTTCTTGAAAGTATTCCCATGGAATAAAAAGTATTTAGGTTTAGACATAAAGACAAATTAAGTCGCCATTTCATTGAACCATATGAAGGGATAAAGAAGGTTAGGTTACCAGTTGGTTTTACCACCAAAAATGAAACACATACACAATGCATTCCACGTCTCGATGCTCCGAAGATATCGATATTATCATTCGTACATCATTCATATGGAATAGGTGACCACATATTCGACCTATAAGAGGAACTTTTAAAGATCTTAGCCCTATAAGTGAAAGAGCTCTGAGATAAGAGCATACCTATGATGAACGTGTTATGGAGGAGTCGCCGAGTAGAGGAAGCCACGTGAGAGCAAAGAAAAAAGCAATACAAGTTCAATATTCAGATACTTCAATTTAGTTAAATTTCGAAGATGATTTTTTTTTGGGTATGGATATGAGTGTTGTATTGACCTGAAAATATAGATTCAACTTTTTAGAGTTAACATGAGTTTGTTACTTAAATCTATCAAAAGTTAATGACGGATGGTTTTGATTGACATTATTAGAATAATTAGATGGTTTGATTTTTTTTTAAAAATAGATCAATAGTCATATTAGAATTGTCACACCCCAAATTTGATATTATAAATTTAGGTGTAAGTTAAAAAAGGATTACAATTTTAAAATTAAGAAAAGTCAGGGGTTAAACTGGAAAAAAATAGACTAAATTGTAACACATCTTAAAGTTTAGGGTAAATTCATAATTTAGTAAAATTTAAGCCAAATTGTGAAAATTAGAAAGTTATAGATCACTTTCTTAAGTTCACTTTTTTCATTTTATTTTATATAGCAATGGTAGACCTCTTGTCAATGGTATTACAAATCTCACAAAGTATGATCTTGTTTGATTTTGAAATGAATTTGTTTGAAAATTTGTATATATATTAAGTTTAATATGAATAAATGTATTGAAACCCTTCTTTTCAAAAGAGACAAGTTTAACCTTCATCAGTATCTTAAAATTGATTTTGAAATTAAGAAAATGTAAAAAGTTCATTATGTTTCAATATCAAACAAATATTTAAGTAAATTAAGTATGGATTGTTAGTTAACAATTAAATGAGTTATACAATATTCATAATACATACTCGCATATTGGATGTATGTTGTCACATGAATATCTAATTGTGGATTGAATAGAAAGACCACCTAAGTTATTTTGTAACCATAAATCCATATTCATTTATTTTATAAACAACAAAAACACCTCAATGTTGAAGCATATTGTTGCAGAAAATCTAGAGTTATCAGGTGTCTATAGAGCATATTGGTACAAACTTCATGATTACACACTTAACAATAGAATAACACCCTAAGTCTTTCATGAGCAAATTAGTCATATGGGTGTAATATTATATAACGATATTTAATTTCAGTGAGAGTTTAATAGTTTTTAAATGTTCGTCTTTTATAGACACAATTTTAATTATTTTACTTTAAGGATATTTTAAGATTAATTTATACAGAAATAGAAATGTTTGATTCACATTGCATGCATTTTCTATGCTACACTCCATGATTGATATATGTCATTTGAATATATTTGTATATGCCACACTTTGATTTTAGTAAAGTTTGATCTTACTATAGTTTAAAGCGGATCACTTAGAAATAGAAATATTTGATTCACATTGCATGTATTTTCTATGCTACACTCCATGATTGATATATGTCATTTGAATATATTTATATATGTGATTGTCATGGGCCATGCATTTGGGTCTGAGACATTGGTGCAAGTATCTTCAAAAGAAGTTCTATGCGAGGTATCGGGCTTGCCAAGACCACCATACTTGGCCTATCACTTGGATAATGTTGCGGAGCCTGTTCAAATCATGCAGATAAGGGAAGTGGCATCATATCAGACGATGATCACAAGAGCTCAGTAAATATGACAAGAGATCAGA